GCTTTTGATTTCTTCCACCTTGATGCCCCCTGGATTTGCCTCGGATAAGTTGTGGGTATTGGGCTGCATCTTGCTTTTGTGTTTCCTCATTTTCTATTTTTGTTGTCTTTTTTTATCTGCATTGAGGCTTGTAATTTGCTTATGGTAGGTAACTTTATTACTAGTATCAAGACCTCTTTAGGAAATGACTACTTTTTGGAGATGTCTTTTAGGTATAGCTAGCTTTTGGCCTTTGAGTCTGTCCCAGTGTCCTGTCTCTTCTCTTTATTAGAGATGAAAGATTGCAGCCTGTTTGGCCTAGCACCTAGTTCTTTAGTACTGGACTGTAGTATTATTTATGACTCCCAGATAATGTAGGTGTTGCCATATAAGAAATATCAGTTGATCATAACAACTGTGTCAGCTTGGCTAAAGTAGTATAATCAATAATAACAATAGCATCAGACTGGAAAATGACAAACTGAGGTAACTAATAATTTGCCACCTTTAACCATAGGTACAAGATTTATAGTCATATAACAAAATCTAGACCGTTCAGGAAATTATATACAGTAAATATCCACTCAGTAGAGAGATTTTTCTCCAAGAGAACAAATTATAAATGGAAGAGGAAATGTACAGAAATGAAAGAAGAAAAAGAGATTAGAAGCAAAGCTGAAGGACAAAGGAAGATTACCCAAGCCACTGGAAACTGGTGAAGACAAGAGGAAAAGAAAGAAGGAAAAACCAAAAACAAGAACAAAACAAAAACTAAAAACAATGTTCACACTCACAAAAAAACATAAAACTAACACCCCCCCCTCAAAAAATAATCAAATAAAAATAAAAAGAAACCAACAGAAAGAAACAAAAGAAGTTTCTCTGTGATTTCAAGCCTGTGGCTATCTTCTGCTATCTACACTTTGTGACAATGGCCAATTCAAGGGGGGACTCTGCTTTCACTGGAGGACAACAGAGGTAGTCAGAGCCCATATCTTTGTAGATAACCCATCAGCAAGCCAACAGTAGTATTAGGGCAGAGGCAGTTCTGGTACTTGCAAATCCACAGAAACTAAGTATAAATCTGGCTTCTGGTTGTGCGAGTGGTACCTGAATTGTTTGTTTTAAAACACTGTGGGTATCTCTAGCTGGCCACACCACAGCTCCCTGATGATGAATGTTTCCTGTGGTTGTTCCTCACCCAGTGACTGGGAATATAAGACAAGGAGCTCTGAGATGAAGCCACTCTGTGGCTCCTCTGAGTACCAGGTTCAGTTGACTGCTCCCTAGAATGGCATCTGACCACTCTCTCCAGGGAATGTGGCAGCCATTTGGGTTGGAGTCACTCACCAGCTATTGCAGTGCTCAGCATCCACTGGTGCCTTTCTCCCTGAAGGCGTCCACCTGCTTTTACCGTGTCTCTACAGATTCAGTCTTCCTTTCTCACAAGCCAGGAGCCAGGGAAAAAATACAGATTGCCCCTTCCTTTTTCTGAGTTTTGGTCTGTGTCTTTAGTTTTTCTGTAGGTTCTACCCAGAGTTACAGGGATCTACTTCTCTCCTTTTCTTGCCCTAGTGACTATTTTTTAGTGTCTGGATTCTGAATCGTAAGCTGATTTGTTGCTGCTTACTGCTCCGCCATCTTCCTGGAAGCATAGCTCTTAAAACCACCTATGAGCATAGCTACAAAGATCATCACGCTAAAAGAATCCTGAAGCTGTAACTGCCTACCATATTATAACACACATTCCTGAAATGAGTTTTTGAAAATGTTTGATTAGTAAGTCATAATTGTATAAAGTTCCAGGGTACAATGTAATAGTTTGATATATGTTAATAATATAGTATGATTAAATCAAAGTAATTACATGTTCATACTCTATCCATCATTTTGTTGTTGAGATTTGAAATTTATTTTAAAGTGTGTGATACTTCGTTCTTGACCATGTTCACCCTACTTGTACAGTACATCTGAAAACCCATTCTTCCTGTCTTACCTAAAACTCCTTTCCCTTTTTCTCTTTATTCAGCAATTTCCAGTCCCTTTCTTTCCAATGTTTCCTCCTGATTCTTGTGCCCACAATATTTCTACCTCTGTATGTTCAATCTTACTTAATTCCATTTAGTGAGATTGTGTGGTATTTGTCTTTTTGTGCTTGCTTACTTCATTTAGTAGATGTCCTCCAGATTTAATCCCTGTTGCCATAAATGATACAATTTCTCCTTTTTTAAAGCTATTTCATTGTACATATTTTTAAGACTGTTGTGCATACCACACCTCCTTTTTCCATTCATTTATGGATGGATAGTTAGGTTGTTTCTATATTTTGGCTATTACGAATAATACATCAGTCAATGTATTGATTATTGATGTATTGATTTCAGTTCCTTTTCATATATAATATGTACAGAACTGAGATTACTAGATTATGTGGTAGTTCAATTTTTAGGAACTTCCTCTTTTCCAAAATGGAGCACTACATTATATTATCCCCAGTGGTATATGACAAAGAATCCATTATCTGTGCATCCTCTCCCAACACATACCTTTCATCTTTTTAATAAAAGTCAGTCTAACAACTGTGAGAAGATATCTCATTGTGATGTTAATTTTTATTTCTGTAAATTAATGATGGTGGGCGCAAAGAGTTGTTTTTTTGAAAAAATTAACAAACCTTAGCCAGACTAAAATAATGACACATCACATGGAAAAGGCAACATTACAACCAACACAACAAAAATACAAAGGATCATAAGATTATCATGAGAAATTTTATGATAGTAAATTGAACAGCCTAGAAGAAAGGGGTAAATCTCTGGACAAATAAAACCTAACAAAATGGAATTAAGAAGAAAATAGAAAATCTGAGCAGACCAATAACAAGATTTGAATCAATAATTTTAAAAAATCTCCTGTCAAAGCAATGTCCAGAACCTGATGTCTTTACTGTTGAATTCTAGTAAACATTTAAAGAGAAGTACTACCAATTCTTTTCATACTCTTCCATGTATATTGAAGACTTCCAAATTTATTCTGCAAGGTCACATTACCCTGACACCAAAACCAAATAAAGACAGCAAAAAAGAAAACTACATTCTAATTATCTCTGATAAAAACAGATGCAAAAAATTCTCAACAGAATACTTGCCAAATGAATTTTAACAGCACATTAAAAGATCATTAGTAATAATCAAAAGGGATTTACCCCGGAGATACAAGGATGGTTTTAACATGAGCAAATCAATAAACATGATACATCAAATTAATAGAATGAAGGACAAATCCATATGATTTTTTTCAGTAGATGCACAAAAAACATTTGACAGAACAGTCCTTCATGATAAAAACTCCCAAGGAAAAAGTAAAATAAAAGCCAGATATGACAAAAACAGAGAACAGAAAAAAAGCTAAGACCTTTCCCTCAGTGATCAGGAACATTACCAGGATTCCTACTTTTATCTTCGCAACATAGTATTGGAAGTCCTAGTTCAGGGCATAATAAAGGACATCTAAAATGGAAAGAAGTTAAATTGTCTGTTTTTTCTGTGTGGACAGTCAGAACACAAATAATAAAACCTTTATTTTCTTCCATTCTTTTCACTTTCCCTTTTTTCCATGTTCAACTGACAAAGATCTTTATGTATCACTGAATAAAAATAATGATTGCAGGTATATTTTTGCCTTAATTTTCCAGTCTTAAACTTGATGCGTCCAACATTTCCTGGTTATGTTTGGGCTTGGGTAAATTTTTTTCAGAAAGAGGATCTGGATAAGAAGTCAAGGAACTGCTCATTTAATCTTTGCCAGTAATTTTTATTGCAACTGGATATTGAATTTTATAAATTGTGTTTCCTTACTTACGTAGGTGCTGTTTAATTTGCATAACATTTTTCTTTTGCTTCAGACCTTCGTCATGGGTCACTTTCTTTTGCTACCAGCTAATGTCCTCTATAGAATGCCCAAGTCAGTTTCTGTTGGAGGTGAACTTTAGTAGTATGTGAGCATTTTATTTAGTGTGCTTTTCGTCACTGAAAATTGAAGATGTTTTTGTCAATTAGGAATTTGGGGTTCTGAGTTTCTGTTAGCATACTGATGGTGTTTTTCCATTGTCTTTATGGTTGACTCTTTAATTACTAGAATTTGCTGCATGTTACTTACCATTGAACTTAAAAACCCTGGTACTCTGACTATAGAATGGCTTTCTGCTTAATTAACCAGTGGTGAATATCACTGCTTTGTACAGCATATGACTGAGACATCAGATTTTTTTTTTTTTATCTTACCTCATTCAACTATATAAGGCAATAGGAGTTTCAGACTGAAACAACTTTTTCTCTTTCAATTTAGGTTTCTCTCTTTCTCTTTCTCTTTCTCTTTCTCTTTCTCTTTCTCCTTTCCTCTCCTTTTCTCTTTCCTCCATTCTCTCTTCTTCTTTTCAGTACTAAAGATTGAATCTGGGGCCTTCAGGCTGAGCTGTTCACTCAGCTCTTTTTCTGTATTTTCGTTTGGGGGCAGGGTCTTGTTAAGTAAGTTGCCCAGGATATAAAAATCCTCCTTTCTCAGCCTCCCAGAGTGCTGGGATTACAGATGTGTACCACCACAGCCAGTTTGTGAAACAATTTTAAACACATAGTATCTTTCTGTAGACTTAAAATGAATAAAAAAAAAATAATACTTTACTGATTAACCTATAAAGAAAAATTACTTTGATTTTTATTAAAATGTTAAAGCAATTAAACAATTGGCCTGTCTTCCTGATTACTAACACTAAATGAGTTGTGTGAATTAAATATCCAAGTGTTACATAAATAGTAATTTAATTATTTGTCATTGATCTATAACTAAAAATCAGTGATTGCAGCACATTTCCAGGTATCATACAAATATTAATTTAGTTGCCAGCTCAGCTCTATAAAATAGTTGCTATTAATATTTTCATTTTATAAATATGGATTCCAGACTTCATGTTGGTTAGGACCAAACTCTTTAACACTTTTTGTTTTTTGGTGGTTTTCTTCTAGGATATGATGACAGCTGTAAATTTAGGACAGAAGATCATTTATTTAGTTTCATTCTTTGAAGGCTTGCAACGCATTATTTTATTCACTGAAGATTCAAAGGTGTTTAAAGCAACGTATGAAAGTGAGAAAGCGGAGTTAGCAGAGCAAGAAATTACACTGGCATTACAAGATGTTGGAATTTCTCTTGTGAACAATTACACAAAGCAAGAAGTGGCCTACATAGGCATTACGAGGTTAGATGTGTTATCACTGTAAAATGAATTACTCAGTTTTTGGTTTTCAGGTATTCTTCAATACTAAGGTAATTCTAATTTACAAATACATTTGAAGTTAGTTCCCTTGGAGATTAAAAATGCCAGAAATAAAATCTATGAATTTCTTACTGTTTTTAATTTTCCTAGTGCTCAAAAAAATTAAATTTATTTAACTTAAGAAAGTATTCTTTATTCAACTTCATTTAAAATTGCCTGTTACCGTCTGCAACAGTGTAGGGTATATAGTAGATGCTTTGTCAATAATTGTTGAAGGATTAAAGAAAATCACTCCTAAATTTGACCTTAGCATTTTAAGATCTAGTAAGATAATAATTATAATTTCTCATGCCTTTACCATTTCTATGCATAAACACTTAAAATTGAAATTTATACACACACATACACACTAGTGCTCTATGTGAGTGCATTCTTAGAGTCTATATAACTACAGCAATGTAGTTTGAATTCTTGAGCTAACCTCCAAAATAATAATTAAAGATATATGCTACTGATTTAAATTTAAATTCTGTGTAAATTAATAGTTCTGACTGCTCATTGAATGGAGTAAATGTCATTTTAAGAGAAACATTAAAAACAATTTATATCTTTCTCAAAAATTTAAATTTTATTAGATAAAAAGGTGAAATAGGCAACAGATTTTTAAATGCAGTGGCTTTTAGTATGTGTTATCTCTTGTGGTAAATTATATGAATGGAAAGATAACCAATACATGATCTCTACATAAATGTTACAAAGAATAAACAAATTCAGTATTTAAATAAAATTAAATAACTGAAATATGTAAATAACAGTAAAATAATAGCCAAGGGTAAATTTTTTTATTTGGTAGTTAGGATTTATTCTTGTCCACTGCTGGGACTAGAACCCGGGGCTTGCTAGGAAAGTGGTCTACTGCTGAGCCACTTCTCCAGCCTGTCATTAGGTCTTTAAACATTTTAAGTGCAGTTAGATACCTCTTAGTCATAACTTCCCTCCTAGACAGTTTTATGTTGTACCTCTTTTCAAACCTTCCCTCTCTCAGCCCCACTGCCTTGCATCACTGAGAAAAGTGAAGCCATAAAAAGCAAACTTCCACAGATCCTCTTCACCCCCCAACATCATAACTTCCTTCCTACAGGTATCGGTAGCTTACTAACATAGTTCTCCAGGGTTGTCATAAATACATTTTAAGTGCTCCTTTTGTAACACTTTTTTCTACTTTTGCACTATATTTCATTCATTCTTACGTATGTGAGGACATTTTCTCACCAGTCCTCTTCTTTTTGTTGTAAGTCTACAACTTCTGCCTCTCTACTGGATTGTTTCCATCACTGTCAATTTCTCTCAATTTAAGAAAAATAAAAATATATTTTTCTGAGCACACTTCTCTTTACCTACTACTATCAGTGCCTTTCCTTACAGGTAAGGTCCTCATAAATGTCTGTTTCAAAAGAGTTTAATATATTAAGAATCTGCAATGCATTTTCATCCCTTTTTTCTTTACCCACTCCAATACTTAGTTTTCAGTGCATCACAAAACTTGTCTTGGCAAGATTACCAGTGACTTCTATAATGCCAAATCCAGTGGAATTGCCAGTTTTTACTTTCCTTGGTAACGTGTAACAGATGTTCTCTCTTGATACATTTTCTTTCATTTAAGTTGACCATCTTAGTTTTTCTTCCTGTCTCAAAATTCTCAGACTCATTCATTGGTTCCTTTTCAGCCTCTCAATTTCTCATGTTGGGTGCTCTACAGTTTTTAGACCTTGAATCTTGTCTATTTCATTTTTCATTACCGTACTATGTCCCAAATTTATTCAGATACATCTATCTTCAGCTAAACCTATTTTCTGAACTCTTACACTTGGATATCTAATTACCTATACAAAATCTGTCTGGGTATCTAGGAGATAAACATCGTATGCATTAACACCAAATTTCTTATTTCCCTCTCCTGCCAAAACCTATTTCCTCATTGGAATTACTTATGACCAACCCTTTCAAGTTTTTCAAGCGGAAGACTTTGGAATCATCTTTGAGTCCTCTCATTATTTCATACCCCACATCCATTTCATGTAGAAGTTCTGTGCTGACACTACCTTCAGAATACACATAGGATCTGGCTACTTTTTATTACTTCAGTGTTAACACCCTAGTCAGACCCATCACTGTTTCTCAACTGTCTTACTATGTTAACTCCCAACAAGTTGTCCTGCTTATAGGTTTGACTCCTTTTGCTGTTCCTACGCCCATATTCGTAGTGTATTCTTAACAAAGTGTTAGGTCATATTGCTAATCTTAAACCATTTCAGCAGTTCCTCAGCTCACTTTAATAAAACTCAGAGTCTTTATAATGACCTACAAAGCTTTACATTAATTGGCAGCCCACTGACTGACTTCATCTTCAGCTCTTAATATATTCCTACCATGCCAGCCTCCTTGCTTATCTTCATACAGTAGAGATGTGCTGTTGCTTTAAGGCATTTGCTAAAAGCTGGTCACTTACCTAAAATGTTCTTATCCCATGTCTGCTACATAGCTCCCTCATACCCTTTAAGGTGGGTAAAATTTCATCTTCTCATTGAGGTCTCTGTTGACCACTTCATTTTAATACTACAACCTCTACCATTTCACCATATCCTGACTCTTTACCTTTCCTTCTTTCAAAAGAATTTTTACCTCCTATACATTAAAATTGACTAAATGTTTACTATTTACTGTCCCACTCCCCAGCTAAAATGAACAATAGCAGAAATGTTCTCTGCTGTTTCTCTTAATACCTAGAACAGTATCTGAATAGGAGTTGAATAAATTCATGTTTTTAAACTCAAGATGTGCTGGCTATTGTAAACTTCTATTGAACATTCTAATTTATGTAATAAACCACTTAAAATGAAATTATTATATATTAACACAATGATTTTTGCTTTCATGTACAAGTTCTGATGTAGTTTGGGAAACAAAGCACAAGAAGAAAGCAAGGTGGAAGCCAATGAGTGTAAAGCACACTGAGAAGTTGGAAAAAGAATTTAAGGAATACACTGAATCTTCACCTTTAGAAGATAAGATTATTGAGTTGGACACCAGCATTTCGGTAAATTTTTAAAGTAGTGATGTGAAAGTTTAATTTTTATCTGTTATAGTTTGAATCACTAGTGAAGTTTAGGGAAAATCAGGCTTCCTTACAAAACAAGTTGAACATGGTTAATTTTTTTTTTGTCTTTTTGAGACATTGTTTTAGTATGCAGTTCCAGCTGGGTTTGAACTCGCTTTGTAGTCCAGACTAGTCTCAAACTTGCAGCAGTCCTCCTCCCTTAGCTCCCAAGTGCTGGGATTACAGGCATGTGCCACCATGCTTAGTGAACCTGCTAAATCTTAATTTACATACTTAACGTATAATATTCCTTTATAGATGTGGTCATAAATCATACTTTGTCTTAAGTTACTAAATGTTGATAATTCTTTCAGTTAATGAGAAAAGTTTGTTTTAATTTATTTTAAAAATTAGCTTTTTTTATTACTTTCCTTTCTTTTTCCCTGTCTCATATTCTCCATCCTGGGGAACAAGCTCAGGACCTTGCACATACTAAGCAGGTGCTCTAAGGCTGTACTATACCTCCAGCACTTGCTTTATTTTTTATTGTACTACATTTTAGTAAATAAATATAAAAGGTGATACAGTTAACCTTTCAGGATTATGTGAATATTTTATGGATTTGGAATGTAAAGATATGAGATTTGAATCTAAATGAAATAAGATATGTATCCTACTGTCTTAATTAGCATTATTTTAAACATCTTTTGGTATAAATTTCTAATTGTAATCAATTATGGAAAAGAGATACCCCATGTTGGCTTTTGCGGCGGGGGGGGCATGTTTTTCAGGTTCGCTTAACACCTAGCGGGAATAGCATGAAAATTCTGCAACCACATGTAATACCTCTCCGAAGAAATTATCTTCCAGCATTAAAAGTTGAATATAGCACGTCTGCACATCAGTCATCATTCCGAATTCAGATTTACAGAATACAGGTATGCCTTTCTGAGAAATAGAAGCAAAACACAACAGAGAAGCAGATAATAGTCCCAGGATCTGTTTCTTTCTAATATAAAGTCTAAAGAAAAAGCACGGTGAAAGCCCAGAAGGTAAAGTACACTGAGAAGCTGGAGAATGAACTTAAGGAACACACTGACTGTGCACTTCCTACTTCAGTTGCAGTGGTAGACTAGACTTTTGATTCCCTGTACTTCTTAAATCTTATAGTTCTAGTCAAGTTGTGTAATTGATGTACTATATGCCAACCTGTTTTTTATTTTCTTAGATCCAAAACCAGATTCATGGTGCTATTTTTCCATTCGTGTTTTATCCTATTAGACCTCCAAAGTCTGTCACCATGGACTCAGGTTTGTTTTTATTTTTAGATTATTACAGAAACAATTGTCTTAGCTACTTGGCTTATTTTACTATAAAAATATGAAAAGAAACCTTTCTCAAGTTTAGTTCAGTAGGATCACTAGAAAACGAAGCTGCTTGAAAAAGGACCAACAAATACCAGCTAACTTCAACAAATCTTTAAATGAATACTGAAAAAAAAAAGAATATATATATAAATAAATATATATATAAAATTGGGCATGGTGGTGCATGCCTGTAAATCCCAGCAGGAGGCTGAAGCAGGAGGAT